GATAGATAGATAGATAGATAGATAGATAGATAGATAGATGATAGATAGATAGATAGATAGATAGATAGATAGATAGATAGATAGATAGATAGATGCTTGAGATATACTATGCAGAGTCACAAAGAAAGCAAGCTATGAAGATCCCGCACCTGCTTTTCTCAATTGCAGTAGGACCCACATTAACTAAGCTGTTGGAGACCAGACATTAGCTATCACATTTAATTAAAACCAGCTCACAAAATATGCACATCATGATCCAATTAATATAAAACTAACATGAATGATGAGGTTGGATATGCACACAACGGAGGACAGACCTGGACGTTTTTGAAGCCGCCCGTCAACTCCAGTTCCCACGCCCGAGGAGGTGGCGGAGTGCAGAGGGTGTCTGTGAGAACTGTGCCAGCTACAGTTAGGTTCTCAGAAGAATCACGGACATCGTTTCTCATCCAGCCCTGAGTAAACCCTTACGCTAGTCTTAGTTGGCTCGGTCTGTTTTTAACCTAAATCAAGACCCAAAGAACCTCAGCACTGTTCTGTTTTCATCTCTGCTGCTGTGAGAAGACACCAGAAGCAATTTAGAGGAAGAAGGAATGAATGGCTTATAGGGCATGTTCCATCACTGAAGGGATTCAGAGCAGGAAGCCAAGCAGGATCTTGAAGCAGACACCACGGAGGAATCCTGCTTGCTGGCTCACTTGGCTCTTGCTTAGCTCGTTTTCTTATATAGCCCAGGGCTACCAACATAGGGATTGTGCCACCCACAGTGGACACAGTGGACTGGGCCCTCCCACATCAAGACAAACCCCCACAGACAGGCCCACAGGCCAAGTGATCTGAGCAATCTCTCAGTCAAAATTCCCTTCTCAGAGATCCTAAGATTTAGAATTGTCAAGTTAACAAAACCAACCAAGACAACTATACTCAAAACAGTTTGCCATAACCAATTTAATATTTATTAGCACTTATGTAGTGATTCTTAGTACAGGCACCCCTGTCGCTCCACAGGCACCGAAATCCTGATTGTCATTTCATACTTGTTAAGTGACTTGGGTCATGGGCTTGAGAGAGAAGACTCCAAAACCCATGCTCCTTCTCCACCTTGACAAGCTGACACTTTAATACCCAAAATTACATGTGGTGTTTATCTCTTTAACGGTAACCGTAGTTTCACAAAGGCACTCAATGAAAATAAAAGGAAATTTTCACTAAATAAAATTTACTTTCTCCTGAAGAGACCTGGACTGCCAAGACTCTGGAAACAAAATCATCTCCAGCCACTTAGTACTCTTCAAGTATTTAACGAGAATCCTTACCCTGTGTCAAGAACTCCCCTCACAAACTTCCAGAGCAGTGGTTTCCAACCCGTGGGTCACAACCCCCTTGGGGTCTCAATGAGGTCTTTCACTTAAGACCATCGGGGAACACAGATGTTTACATGACGATTCATAACAGTAGCAAAATTACAGTTATGAAGTAGCAATGAAAATAATGTTATGGTTGGGGGTCACCACAGCATGAGGAACTGCATCAAAAGGTCGCAGCGTTAGGAAGGCTGAAAACCCCTGCCCTAAAGTCACCTGCTTTGACAATTCTTTTTTTTTTCAAGACAGGGTTTCTCTGTGTAGTTTTGGTGCCTGTCCTGGATCTCACTCTGTAGACCAGGCTGGCCTCGAACTCACTGAGATCCGCCTGGCTCTGCCTCCCGAGTGCTGGGATTAAAGGCGTACACTGCCACCGCCCGGCGCTTTTGACAATTCTTAAGTCACTTTATTTCTAGTACTCCATTTTTCGCAATACCTACTTTTAGTGTCCAATAATATATGGCTGGTCATTTAATAACAACATTACAAAACTGAAATACTTATAATGCAAGCCCACATCAACACTTACTAGCTCGGTGTTCATCTTTAGGTGACTGAGAACTGCCATTCTCTTCAGGAAGTCTGACAAAAATAAATGTCTTATCTTGAATGGAGATGGGTAGCGTGGGACTAGCAGAGATATTTAGTTCTGCATCAAATTCTGGAAACTGGCGCCTAGAGATTCTTAAATAAAGATATATATGTTATATATATGCCATGTAATATATATATATATATATATATATATATATATATATATGAGCATTACCACCCACAAATGTGTCTTTGTGTATGAAGCAGCCTATTGCCTTTATAATAATTCATACCTGTTAGTGGATGAGCAAGAGAGGGCCTTGCAGGTATATCCAGCAGCCAATTCATTTTACAATAGACTACAAACACTGTTGAGATTTCAGCATTAAATTTAGCAATCATTGCCCCCACTACAAGCCAACTAAAAGAATCAGAAAAGAAATGACCATACAACGGACCATGCACCATGCTGAGAACCAGACCACCACACTGCATAAGAAGCAGGTCTCGCCGGGCGGTGGTGGCGCACGCCTTTAATCCCAGCACTCGGAGGGCAGAGCCAGGCGGATCTCTGTGAGTTCGAGGCCAGCCTGGTCTACCAAGTGAGTTCCAGGAAAGGCGCAAAGCTACACAGAGAAACCCTGTCTCGAAAAACCAAAAAAAAAAAAGAAGCAGGTCTCAGCCTCACTTCCCAGGTGAGTAACTGGAGATGGAGTCACATTTACTGGGTTCCCAGGGCCACAGATGCAGGACTCAGGGGCCTGAGAGGCACGTCTGCACCCAGTCGCTCCCAGATCTCCTCCTACGCAAGTGACTCTGCACTAAACGAAGTCCTTTCCATGTTAAACCACATGCTTGTCCTCTGTTTGGTGTTCTGTGTACTCTGTGTGTGTGTGCTCCCATTTTCCCAGCAGAGCGAGGCACCCAGCTCTGCCTGCCTGTTCTGTCTCTTGATCTTTCTATCATGGATTTTCCAGCCATATGAGAAAATATGGCAAAGTTCGGGTGCCTCGTGATAACAGAGCCTCTCATGGGTTCCCTGACTGAGTCTAAGAGGCTTAACAGAGGTGTCGAGGTGAGAGCACCCTTCTGGGCCACCTTCAGCCATGCCCCAGTAAGCACAGAGAGGAAATGATGGAGAAGGAATGGGCTGCTCTTGCTGGCCACATCTCAGGTTGATTTGGGAAGTGTCCAGCAGTCAGCGTGGATTTTCTGTTTGGCTTGTGCTGCGGGACATGGAACACACGTCCCCTGGTATGTCATGGAGATCCTTCAGCCAGTAATGCTGGAGGACAGTGATGAACTACAGATGATGACGGAGCAATAGCTTGAATAAAATATCACTGAACGTGTTGCTAAGGAGAGCACCCGAGTTTTAGATAAAGTCAAATTCTAATTGAATTTAGTTTCCTCCAGGTTTGACAGACTTTGAAAGGATCTATCAAAACTGAGATAGCCTTGGGGTAGAAGCAAAAAAGTTATAGGAAAAGAATACTATTATCCAAATCAATTATTCTTGGGGTTTTGACAGAAATCCACATCAACTAGCCCATCCTTCCCAATTCCTCCTGTTCCCACCATTCTATCTGGGGTGGACGGGGCATACAGCTTTGATATGTTCAAGGTTCTGGTGACATACAACCAAGCAAATGTACAAATAGCAAAAACAGAATTCATAAAAGAGTAAAAAGTAAAGATAAAATATGATCCAGTGGACGAAACCATCTCTCGGTATTCTATGATCCCATTACACCTGCAGATTTTAATATCTTCTTAAAAGTCACAGAACAGTAATAATCCTGACTCTCCAACACACTGAATATGGAAAAACCAAACACCTGAGCCCTGAGAGGAACCCCAAAGGCTTACATAAAAACACTGGGGAAGAGAACTCTCTTCCGCTGAGGAGCAGAAGCCTTGGGGCCACCAGGACTCATCTCAAGAGTCAAATCCTACATTTACTTTTTTTGCTTAGGGCTTTTCCTCCCACAGAAATTATCAGAAATTTCTTTTCCAATTCTCCTTTGAATATAAGACTCATTTCCAAGTCTCTGTTGCCTTGGGCATAGTCCAGACTCTAAGCTTAGCATAACTTTAATTTCCACACAGCTATCCCTGTGTATTACCTTTCAAAATCTTCCTATGATTAGTGGATGCCCAAGCCCCTGTTTAAAATGGTGCGGTAGTTTCATACAGCCTACATGCAACTTCTGGTTTATTCCAGATCATCTCTAGATGATGTATACCTAATGCCACGTAAAAGATCATTCCAGGGCAGCACTTAGAAGATAACACAGCAAAGAATCTGTACACATTCAGTGCACATGCAATTTTTTCAAATATTTTAACCTCTGGTTAGCTGTACACATAGATATGGAACCCACAGTTACAAAGAACCAGACGGACATACTTTTAAAGTCAAGAAATACCTCCATGCCTAAATGTGAACAATAGTCTATGCTGGACCAGTCGTGAAAGATATTAACTTTGGTTCTCTAAGGGGACAGAATAGGTTTACTAAAAGGACACAGTAAATGCATTGTACTAAATCACTCTGAGTCATACAAACAAACCTTTTATTCCTAATACAACAGAGACAAAATGCAGGGACTTCATTATAGCATACCTTGTGGCATTGTCCACAATCAGCTGGGACTCTGACCTGTGGTTTGTCTTCAGTTCAATGGCACACCCTCTTGCCTTAAGAGTCTCAAAAACATCCTGCAGCATGTTGCCAGGTTCAATACTGGGTAACTGTCTAATATCACCTAAGGGAATGAGGGCATGAAGAAGATTTTATTTACCGAGGATTCTAAAACTTGGGGATTATTTTTGTCCTGCCAATTTAGAGAGAGAATAATTATAGACTTCTTGTGACTAAGAAAAAAAGCCTCTCGGCCAGGTGGCGGTGGCGCATGCCCTTAATCTCATCACTTGGGAGGAGGAGCCAGACGAATATCTGTGAGTCTGAGGTCAGCCTGGTCTACAGAGCGAGAACCAGGATAGGAACCAAAACTACACAGAGAAATCCTGTCTCGAAACCCCCCCCCCAAAAAAAAAGAAAGAAAGAAAAAGAAAAAAAGCCTCTGACGTCATTATCTAAAATTATTTAAGAATATTAAATATCTTGGGAGGAGTTAGGAGAAGGAATGGAGGGTGGATGTGATCAAAATACAATGTATAAAATTCTCAATAAAAACAAATTCTCAATACAAACATTACATGCACATAAATACTAAATGTTTTTTAAGCCAAATTAAGTTGCATATGACATAAAAATGTATGTGAAAATACAAGAGGCAAATTTTTAACTGATCTCCTTCATAACTGTGACCCTGGAAAACAGCTAGGAACATATACATCAGACTATGTTTAAAAATCAGAACTCATGGCCGGGCGTTGGTGGCGCACGCCTTTAATCCCAGCACTTGGGAGGCAGAGCCAGGCGGATCTCTGTGAGTTCGAGGCCAGCCTGGGCTAAAAGCTACACAGAGAAACCTCGTCTCGAAAAACCAAAAAAAAAAAAAAAAAAAAATCAGAACTCAGACATGTTGCAAGCGCTCACTCATCCACTCTGCTTCATTGTGATACGGGACGTGGGGAAGCCATGGTTCAACTGCATAAAACAAGCCTAGGGCACATAAAACGGATGAGCTGAATCGAGGTGAAAACAGACCAGGTCTAGATGCCAAATGACAGCTCCTTAGACAACCGATAATCTTAGTACAACGCAAAAATCAAACTCCAGAGGAAAAAAAAAAAACTATATACAGGGTGAGAATTGGGAGACTGCTAAGACTTTAACAGAATCATCTGCTAATCAAATATCCCCAAACACCTAAAATAAATGCTATTTATATACGATCCCATTACAATTAAAACCCAGAACCGACTGATCACTAAAACCCTACAGAATCTGACCAAACCTCATCAGATTAGGAGGCTGGCGAGGCCTAATTTGAATTATTAGCTTAGAATCATAAAATTACTGTAAAGTGGTCTATAATTCAGACTTTTTATTATTTCCAAATGATCTATATCCTGATTTATTCTGACTCTGACATTCTTACTATTTTAATAGCCATTACTTAAGCAATAAGCCGTAACTTATGGCCCCCTTTCCCGATCATCCTAGCCGGCTGACACACCGACCAGAAGACCCACCCAGGCTGGCGAGGGTAACAGGCAGGCTTTGGAATGGGCCGTGAGAATCGCTTCCTGCCTCCAACAAGCCGGAGCCTGGAGGAGCATCCCCAACACAGCACCCGCCGTGCTTTGAATCTGCAGCACGTGCAGATTCTCTCGGTATTTTTAACTTACCAAGGATTATAAGCTTCGAAAGCTTGGCATGGTCACACAGCAACTTTAAAACCGAATTGAAGATTCCGACAGATACCAAACTCCCTTCGTCCACGACCAGAACTCGAACTGTAGAGAATTTCCAGGGCTTGTCTACTACATGTTTCTTCCAAAAATAGAAGCTATAACTGACCTATAAGTAAAGTATACATAAAAAAAAAAAAATCATGTTAGGAATTAACAAGCACATGGTTTTAAAAGTAAAGCTTTGTGACAGGTGAGGGGAGTATGAAAACATAAGGAACAGGCGAAAAACAGAAAGAACATACCATACAGAGGGATGAATGAACAAAAGAGATGAGTTTAAAAAAATCTGTAAAAGGCTCAAATAGTTAAAAAGAAAAATGGTTTCCCAGTGAGCTTTGGGTTTAACTTAATAAATAAGTTACAATACCACAGTTTCCTTTGCAAAAACAAAAAAACAAAACACTTCTCCCATTGTTCTCGATGGAGAAATTTCTGTGTTTCTTTTCACTCAATAAACCTCTTGGCTTTCTAAGATACTCCAGTGCTTTTTCTGCTTACTAAGTTTCAAGTATTCCAAACCTCTGACCGCCACACTGGAAAACCACAACAAAACCACTGCTAAGAACAATTCAGGGGCTGGAGAGATGGCTCAGAGGTTAAGATCACTGCTTGCTCTTCCAAAGGTCCTGAGTTCAATTCCCAGCAACCACATGGTGGCTCACAACCATCTGTAATGAGATCTAGTGCCCTCTTCTGGCCTGCGGGGATATGTGCAGACAGAACACTGTATATGTAATAAATAAATAAATCTTTAAAAAAAAGAACAATTCAGCTACCAACAGTATTTATAATGATTATTTTTAAAATATAGATGATTTAGTGAGGTAATGGCAAAATCCACCGTTAAAGCTCTAACTCCCATCCTTTAGGTTCCTTTCTATTCGTCTACAATGCACAGACTTCATTCCAATCAAAGTCATCCCGAGCCCTCTACACACTATGGACATTCTCCCCGGTGCATCTGGAAAGCTTTTCCCCTAAAGAAAATGTTCTTTTCCTCCCCTGAGCCTCCAAAGTGCTTTAGAATCCTTTATAACATGCATAACACGCATTTTCGGGACTCTGCCCTCCAACTCTTTACACTATCATCAAGTAAAGTATTCATTCTTGCAACCATATTAAATCATTTCCAATCGTTGATAGGTGACGACTGGCCAGACGGAAGAGATAAAGAAACAGCAGAGAACAAAGCTTTCATTCTACAAGAGAGAATTTTTTCCCCCATCTCAGCACTCCAGGGAATGGGGACATGCTTGAAACCAGTCCTCATAAAAAATAAATATGAGCCGGGCGGTGATGGCACATGCCTTTAATACCAGCACTCTGGATGCAGAGCCAGGCGGATCTATGTGAGTTCAAGGCCAGCCTGGGCTACAGAGTGAGTTCCAGGAAAGGCACCAAAGCTACACAAGGAAACCCTGTCTAGAAAAAAAGTTCCCCTGACACCAAAAAAAAAAAAAAGAAAGAAAGAAAAAGAAGACAAAGAAATATGGTACAGGAATTAAACTACATCATTAGGCATATACTTCAATGCCACTGACATTTCTTCATGACAGCAATATCCCAATGAAGGACAGAGTCTCCCAGTTTACTTTTAGAGTGGTCCATTCTCATCACAAACTGGGGAAGTTACAGACTGGCTGTCCTGGGTAGGACTGATCTAAATGATCAGCTACTACAGAATAAGGACCCAAGAGACATTTAACAAGAACAGTAAGCTCTGTTAGCCACGGGAGATAAGCTCGGCGGTGGCAAGTATCGAACCCTGTCGGTGAGTACTGGGATACTTCAAAAGCTGATCTGATGACAGAGACGGCCATCAAGTGACAGACGGGGAAGCATCGGTATCTTGTAAAAAAAAAAGTGAACATCCCCAGCGCAACTGGATGAAATATGGTGAGATTGAGTTAACACCGTTCACAATAGTGTGTGGTTTAACTGAACTGATGTCTAGGTGTTAACAGAGGGCAGAACAGCCAGAAAGGATGACTTTTGTGCCTTCCAGAGCTTGAAGCCACCAGGCACCTCCTTCCCAGTTGGATTTCACCCCGATCACGGCAGAGCTCATCCAAGCAAGGCTGCAGAGAGAAGCGGAGTGTGCCAGCATCACCCACAGAAGGGCTGAGTCGGTCCACATCCTCGAGACACAGCTTAGAGAAGATATCGTGAAGGAGGAACTGGCCTGGCCGGATGTATCCAACACGGTGTTTAAACATCTGGGCCCTGTGCTCATCAAACCTGAGCTGGGGGAAGCTCAGGGGACAGTGGGAAAGAGGTTGGACTCTATCCCAGCTGCAATTAAGTGATATGAATCTCGCCGGGTGGTGGTGGCGCACACCTTTAATCCCAGCACTCGGGAGGCAGAGCCAGGTGGATCTCTGTGAGTTTGAGGCCAGCCTGGGCTACCAAGTGAGTCCCAGGAAAGGCACAAAGCTACACAGAGAAACCCTGTCTTGAAAAACCGATATGAATCTCAGCTTGAGCAACAGTCCCAAGCCGTGGAGGGAAACCTTTTTGCTCAGTTATAGCACAAGTCCAGAGGACCCAGGCAGCAAAGGCCTCCCATGGTGCAGGGAAGGGATGTGAGGGCGTAGCATGAGGCAGGCAGATACTGTACCAACCAATAAAAATGTAAAACCCCCATTGGGAGAGGGGCTTATAAACTGTGGAGTCTGGGAACGTAAGTCAGCAGGCAAGCGCCTGCCTGGCATTGCACAAGACCTTGGGTTTCATCTCCAGCGTGAAAATAAAAAGAAGGAAAAACTTACAAGCTGGTTACTTCCGAATAAGAGGCAAAGATGTCTTTAGGGGAGTGTTTTATCTGTCTACACGCAGAAACGTCAAAGGTTTTTACCTGATACAGCGTGTAAGCCGGAAGATCAGTCTTCTGCCTCAGTAGACTAGCCGCTTTCCCGGTAGGCGCTGTGAGCAAAACGTCTATAGCCTTGTCCACCGCTGCCGGGCTCTGCTTAGGAAAGGCAAGCCATTCTTCGGAGGCATCCCCGTCTAGCTCAAAATCTTTGCAAGCCTGCTGTACTTCTTTCTCTTCCAGCTGCTCCACATGCTTAAAAAGATGGCTAACGATGGTAGTCTTCCCACAGCCACCCTTCCCGCTGAGGACGGTCACAGCCTTGGCGCAAATCATTTCCAGCGCGACCACCTGATCTTGATCCAGTGGGACATCACAGATGTCTGCACTCATTTCGTGATCCCCATCAATCCGAACGTGGTCCCCGCCGTCCTGTGGGTCTGCAACACTCTCGCCCTGTGCTAACCCCATTCCATCCGGCTCACTTCCTTCCGCTGCCTCGGCCCTTCGTGAATCTTCGGGCTTCCCGCTGCTAATGGACGCCAGAACTTTCTTCACGTCCACTTGCAAATGCCAGGGGGGTCTGTTGATCAGGTCACATATGGAGGAGGCAATGCCTTGCTCGGCCTGGTACAGTTCAGAGAGGAAGACGCAGTCCTTCTCGTAGGTTACCACGTCAAGGTCCTTCATAAACTCCAGAGATTCGCATGCTTCCTGGAAAGACATGTTCTGTGCCACCGCCGAAGTTAAGGCTTCTACTTCGACACACGTGTGCCCGTCTTCTCGACACGTCTGCCTCAGCTTAGCATAGACGACCAACGCGTTCTTCTGCAGGGGAGTCATCAGCTGGAGGAGGGAGGGGCACTGACTGAAGGCTGTCCAGCTGGCCTCACAGCTCAGGAGCTTCATCTGTCGGTAGGTTACCTTTAGGAGAAGAGCGATCAGAAGGCCACATACAAAGTATACATCGTGACCGATAGGATGACTACAGTTGAAATTGTGTCAGCTTAAGCATTCTCAAGCTCTGGAAAATAGGTATTTGCACAAAATTTGGAGAAAAGGTCGTGTGGTATATCATTAATGTTTTTAACTGCCTTATATTTATATTAGGCACTTACGTAAATTCCAAATCACCATTTTCAAACATTGTCAAACAATGCTACTTGGCTTCACACACACACACACACACACACACACACACACACACACACACACACACACACAGGAATTCCCTGATTTATTTATTCTTCCCCAGGTCTCCTAAAGACAACATCACTAACAGTTTCTTCTTCCAGAATTGACTTTGGAAGGCAGGTATCACTGACCCTTTTCCTTGACTTTCTAAAAACCCCTTAAGACAACAATTATTAAGTCTCTACTACGGAAAGGCTTTATAAGAGCGTGTGCCATCATCTCGACTCGGGGTTCTTGTCTGAGGAAAGAGACATTCAATCAACCAGTCCAATTAAGTCAGTGTGAATCATGTAATGTGTAAGTAAGACTCACAGCAGAGAGCCTTCCTGTATGGACGACACTTTTATAGGGAGGGGTCTTTGCAGGCACTGGGAAGTAAGCAGCTGCCTCCCTTTTTTGGCTTGCTGGGATGTCCATGTGTCTATCAGTAATTCTTCCTAAATACTACAAAGGAGGCCCTTCACTACATTACCTTTCAGCTCCATCATTCTCATGGAGATGCCCTTCCTGAGGCCCACTGCCTCGAGTCCCCTCAAAAGTCAAACACTGAAGTCCCCATCGGCTCGGAATGGGATGACCTTTGCAAGCAGTACCCTTCAAAGATGTCACAAATGTCAAACAAGACCACACTAATGATACCATTAGAATGGGCTTTAAACTCCTAAGATGGGTGCCCTTCGATGAAGGAAAACTTAGCACTCAGAAATAAGTAAGCTACGCTTACATTCCCCAGGAGAGACCGGATACAAATAAGACTTATGGAGGTGAGGAAAGACCTGAGCTCTGATGAATGATGAATCATATCACAGGTAACTCCTCCCTTACCTTCCTCTGCTGCCCCTAAGTCAGGTCCTTTCTGGAGAAGATGTTCCATTAAGAAACATCTCTACTTCCATGCTGGGCTGGAAGTCAGTAATCACTTACTTCTCATACTGGAGATGGTTAAACTTAATCAGTTGTGTTTTCATTTGGAAAGCCACATTACAGCTACCAAGATTTAAGGACCACATTTGACTCTAACGCCACTCAGGTCTACAAGTGCCATTTTCAACTCTTCATCTCTGGCAATAAGGACAAGTACGGCCTTACTCATAAATGGTGTCATTGTGCCAGGTAACAAGCAGATAGCAGCTTGATGTGCCCTGGGGATATTTAAGTCTTCAGTAGTTATACAGGGATATGAGAGACTGTACTGCGGAGCAAACAGACTCAATAAATCCCAAAGAACTTTTGTCTTCCACGAGACTGACGCAATGACAAGTGAGTGACAGAAAAGCATGTCACATCATAATGCATTACATGATAAAATTAATAGTGATAATCTGAACAGCATACATCTTGCTGTGCTGGTTTCTGTTTATTAATCAGTTGACTTCATTATGTATTGATTTTACAGTCGTGTCAGAATTATAGACCTAAGACATTTATGTTGACCTATGACCCTCAGGGAAAAAAATCCAACCCTAAATCCACATATATTCTCAGCAGAAAGAAATTCAAACGTGGCCACATTTGAAGAAGTCTGCCTTATCCAAGATTACTGAATGCTGAACAATAAATGTCTGACTTACCCTACGGAACCCCAGCTTCCACGGATGTGTCCCCAAGGCTTCTTCTATCCGTTGCAACACCTCTTCAGAACTTGAGCCGATGAGCCTTCGAAAGTGCCGAGGAAAAAGAGTTGGAAGGAATTCCATGACTTTGGGGAACTTCAAAGCTGTCATCACACACACAAATGGGACTGCGGGAGGTCAAGAAAGAACAAAGCAAGACACACCAGTGAGCCCAGACAGACGGACTGGGAGACCTTTCTCTTAACACAACCAGCTGAAGACACCTAAGTCAGAAAGATTACGCCATTTACCTGAAGCGCTAAGAACGTTAATAGAATTATTAACTTGGTAGAAACCACCTTGGTAGAAATGAAAGTTAATAGAATTATTTCTACCAAGATGGTTTCTTTGTTACGATCACCAAACTTTCTGTCCTTTATTATATACTTAATGCTTCATAGTCTTTTGTTTTGCTTGCAATATAATCATAAAAAAAAAAACCTCTAATGCATCCTATAAGGGTAAATTTAAAACTAAGCACAAGGGGTTGGGGATTTAGCTCAGTGGTAGAGCACTTGCCTAGCAAGCACAAGGCCCTGGGTTCGGTCCTCAGTTCTGGGGGGAAAAAAAAAACCTAAGCACAAAAATAAATAATTTATGCATTAACCTTTACAATTATTTTCCCAATTGTAACTCTGATTCTTTTGCCTTCGAGGTCATTTTGGTGTGATACAAAATTCATTTGATTTCACTAAGAAAGAAAATGTCTTCTGCATATGGATGTCCAGATAGAAAACCACATTTTAATGCTATTTTAACTCATTCAGAATTGAAATATTTCTAAAGTAGATTATTCCACAGCTTTCCTTTCTCTTCAGTTTTTTTGTTTTTTGTTTTTGTTTTTTGTTTTTGTTTTTGTTTTTTGAGACAGGGTTTCTCTGTGTAGCTTTGGTGCCTGTCCTCGATCTCACTCTGTAGACAAGGCTGGCCTCGAACTCACAGAGATCCGCCTGGCTCTGCCTCCAGAGTGCTGGGATTAAAGGCATGTGCCACCACCGCCCAGCTTCAGTCTTCTTAAAAAAAAAAAAAAAAAAAAACAACTGAGTTTTCTCTTAATGACTCAGGGTAACCTCCATGAACTCAAAAGTCAAGGGACAGAATCACAGTTTCAAGGTGGACCCTCCAGGATCAAGTAGATCACTGACTAGAATCCTTGCATGCTGCAGGGGAGGAACACCAAATGCAATGTAACATTTTCATCAAACTGACTTCAAAGAGGACCCAGGCATGCTCAAACTGTTGACACTGCAACACACTGTCACCTAAGAAGTTCACCACTGAAAACCAAACTGAGCCACGAATAAATAAATAAATCTCACGTCTTTAGTATGGTGACTTCACCTTGGGCCACATTCATAACTATCCCTGGCCACATGTGACCTGCAAGCTATGGGCAGATTTTTTTTGTGTGTGTCCTTGATCTGAAATGCTCAGGAGAAATATTCAGAGACTTTTTTTTCTTTCATAATCTAGACGATTTGCCTATAAGAAGGCTCGGTGATGGGATCCAAGCCTAAATATACAACCTGTTCATTTTTCATATGCACCTTAAAACACACAGGCTGAAAATAACACTGTAAAAATATTTTAATACTTTTGTGGATGATGCGTATGAATGAGAAAATGTCACCCATAGTATCATGCCCATGCTCAGAAAGTTTTACATTATGGAGCACTTCAGATTTTCTGATCAGAGAGGCTCAGTTTGTCCTATGCAAGACACGGCAGGAATTAACAGTTATAACACTTCCAGTCACTCAGCGTCTCAACGACACAAAAACTCACCAATAAAAAATCATACTTACATGATTCCTCCACAGGCAATCTCCTCACATCCTGCTCGTTCTCAGTAGGTGTTCCTTTATTTTTCTCCCCAGGCTCTCGGTCGAAACGTCTTAATGTGTCCGGCAGATTTTCAAAGTTTAGCTTTTCATAGCTTGACACTCTCTCTACCCATTTTAAAAACTCATCTCTGCGCTCGTACCCACACTCTTTAAGGAAAAGCGAACAGATATTTTTTTGATGGGGTGGCGACATGTCGGACTGTAAAAAGTAGGATGGAAACCCTTGAGCTTGGTAGATCTTGGACCGCACAGGCTTCACAACCCTAACCTTCACGCGCCACCAAGGGCCCAGGAGGGGGAACCGTCCTCTCACGGGGCACTGCTCTTTAGTGAGTTCGTCGGGAATAGAAACTGGAGAAGAGGGAGGAAGATGGAGATAAAGAGAAGAGGAAATTTTCAAACGTCTCCGCCAATATTTACCTCTCTCTTCTCCCCTCACCCATCCACACAGCCATCTCTACCTGCTACCTCCAATACTTTGCTCTGCCTGCCTGTTTCTCCGCCATGCCGTCTACAACAGGACACAGCTCCATCTGCACGTTCTGGAGGCAGGCACGGTGCACGCGTGGATTTGCTCATTGAAATCCAGTCTGCCTGCTACCATCGCCTTGGCCAACACTGGCCTCTGTGTGGGGCTTTAAAGTTGCCCGAGTGTCTCCCTTGGCATGAAGGTGTTCGGCTCTCTCGGCCGCGCTCGCCTCTCCTGGCCGGTCCCTACGTTTACACAGAGCTCAGATCTCTTCTCCAGCATGAACCACATACATGAATCTCCTCCATATGTGCCTGCTCCTGTGATCAGAGAACAGCGGCCTAAGTCATGAGGGGTATTTCCACCGGGATGGTGACGTCATCACCTTCTCTCCCTGGGGTGTCCCAGGGCCAAATGCTCGGCCAGGAGAGCCAGCTGCACTTCCGCCAACACTTCATCCTGTGCGTTTGGAGTTCAAATTCAGTCATACTTAAAATGCAGCAGCTCCTCGCTGGCACTGGCTGTGTTTCATTGGCAATGTCTGTGGCCACACGTGGTCAGCGGCTGTTATTGTACCAGACCATGCAAGCGTAATGTGTGTGAGTATGCGTGTGTATGCATGTGTACGTGTGAATGTGTGTGCATGTGTGTATGTATGTGTATGAGTGAATATATGGGCATGCATGTATGTATGTGGGTGTGTGTGTATTGTGTATGTATATGTATTTGTAAATGTGTGTGTATGTGTGTGTATGCATGAGAGTGGGTGTAGGTGTGTGTGTGTGTGTGTGTGTGTGTGTGTGTGTGTGCGTGTTCTCAAAGTTACTAAAGAACAACCCCTTCTTTGATTCAGGCAGGGCAGCGTAATAAAAGTTTCTGGGTGGGAATCCAGGCACCACATCTACTTCCCGTCTGTCAAACTACCTCCATCAACTGTAAACATTGTAAAGAGGAAGCCTGACTCACAGGTATGGGAGTCCCTGCGGCTACCGCTCTCACTACTTCATGGTAAATACCGTGAGGCCGCTGCGCCAGGACACAGGTCCGCCTGCCCACCTGTTCCTCCACCTGTCGTTCCCCCCCACACCTGTCCTCTAGTCTGTCCCACGTCTGTCCCTGCCCCCGCCGCCTGTCAGAACCGAAAGTCAGTCCGTGCACCCGGCATACCCGCCCGGCGGCGCTCGCTCACCTCGGGCGCGCCCCGGCAGGCTGCCCGCCTGGATGCCGCCGCTGCAGAGCTCCTCGGCGTCCACGAACTCCGAGTCCCGGTCCCCGTCCTCCTCCTGCACGCACTCCTCCTCGGTGTCGTCCTTGTCGGGGTGCAGGGGGCCCCGCAGCTCCCGCAGGTGCACGCACGGCCCAGCCATGCTCTCAGGATGCAAACTCAGCCCAAACCCAACTCCGCAAAACCCCGCGCGATGCAGCCCGCTGCAGCCAGCCAATCAGCTCCACCAGGGCGAGCTCATCAGCTTCCGGGAACGCCTGGGCAGCGGGCGGCGTGGGGGCGTGGCCTGGAAATGCTCCGCCCCCGGGAGAGGAGAGACCCGCCCCCTGGGTGGGTGTGCGCTCCTGGAGGTGCAACTAGGGATCGGCTGCTGACTTTTGCAGAAGGGCGCTTTCCAGAAGGGCAGGGCGTTTCTGGCGGAGAGGGAACCGCGATGAACCCCGGGAAAGCAGGGAACCCCGGGAAAGCAGGGCGTCTGCCACTCCCCCTCCTAAAAATAGCATAGCAGAGGCCTTTGGGGCAGACAGCCTGGTGGTGACGGCATGGTGCTTCGTCTCCTTACCCATAAGGGCCGCAGGGAAGTTGATTTACATCACCTAGGGCACTTATGCAGGTAGGCATCTAGGTCCCTTTCCACTGTTTCTTCTTTGGGAGTTAAGGCGGTGATGCAGATTCTTATTTTAAGGCATGGTCTGGGTTGTCCATTTTTATACCCGGCGGGACTTGGAAACCGTTGGCTTTGGTGGCTTTTAGAGAAGCCCTTTCAACCTTTACGGTGTAAATGCTGTTTCCCCCGACTTTTTAAAGCTTAGCTAGTTCCTGTTTTCAGTAAAGCAATGGGTGGAGACTGGCAGCCCGGAGCATATGCAGACTTGAGACAGGAAGTAAAGAAAGAGAAGAGAGATTTAAAAACATAGACTACGCACTTGGGAGGCAGAGCCAGGCGGATCTCTGTGAGTTCGAGGCCGCCGAGCGAGATTCAGGACAGGCACCAAAACTACACAGAGAAACCCTGTCTCGAAAAACCAAAAAAAAAAAAAAAAAAAAAAAAAGAAAGAAAGAAAAATTCCATCTGTGGTGAATATGTACAGGCATCTTCCTTCCTTTTACGTTTCATTTCTTTATTATTTTTAATGTGTGTGACTGCTTTTTTGCTTACATGTATGTCTGTGCACCATTTGCATGCCCAGTGCAAAAGTGCCCTGGAATTGGAGTTACAGACAGTAGTTAGCTGCCCTGTGGGTGCTGGGAATCAAACCTGGGTCCTCTGGAAGAGCAGCCAGTGTTCTTAACTGCTGAGCCATCTCTCCAGCCCCCAGACATTTTCCTTGCCATTCTCTAAGCAATGCAGAAAACTATTTATACAGCATTTACCTTGTATTAAGTATAAATCCTATAAAGATGTTTTAATGGGGGGATACAGTAAACTGTAGGCAGAGAGTTCTGCTTATAGAGAGACTTGTGCGTGCCCTAGAGGGGGCCAAGAGCCAATGCCCCATAGATGCAGAGGGACTCTGTGACTAGGGAACCAAGAGCCATTGGAGAACAACTAAACTTGATCTCCCTCTGGGGTATAAATTGGTAAATGTTCCCAGCAGGAAAACTTCCTCGAGGAGGAACAGAAGCCCAGAGTTTCTAGGGTTCCGCTGCAGCTTGAATTCCTTCCTGTTAGGTCTCAAACCGGAACAAAAGGCTAACTAAGGTGCCTATTTAGTGTATCAAAGCCGCGCGGCCGGGTTCTCCCAGCATCCCTCAGTCCCTACCTGTTACAGGGTATAGCGGGTGTACCCAGACTGCTACCCTGAACTTCTCCAGCCCAGGGCTGGGCTGCCCTTCCCTACATAATCCGGCCTTTTCGTCTACCACTTGCTCTCTTTGCCATTTGGCCTGGCCGCCTTATTCGGCAGCTCCTCTTTTTCCTCTCCCTTCCTCTCTCTCCTCTCATGGTCTGGTTTAATCGGCTGTCCCTGTTCAGCCTGGACTCTGCTTTCTTCCCTTTATCTACACAAAAAATCTTCTCTATACTTTAGGAGTAGTCCCGCTCGCCTCCTTTTATTTCATTTTTTTTTTTTTCATCCCCATCCTTCACAGGTGGTTACTGTTTCCACCCTTTGTAGAACCGGGCTTCAGCAGAGGAAGTCCACGGGATACCTTTTAGCCTGTGTTTTACCTGAACCCTCAGCACTGATGACTGTCCTGTCTTGTTTGGGTGCCTGAGCTCGGCCACCCACCTTCTCAAGGTTCCCTCCCGCCTGCCTGGCCATTTACATTCTCATCCTTAGTCTTCTCTGCTGGCCTCCTCTTTATTGGTGGACGCCCCACATTTTCACTCTGAAATTCACTCCTCAGATACCCATCACCTACATGCTTGTGACCTCTGTTCTGTTAACGCCTCAGCAAGAGATGGGGCTTGGGGAGCCCCTCCCCATCTGTGCCCACATGTGGCCGGATTCATCTTGTGCAAGCAAACACAAAGGTTGTGAGTTCACCAGTTCCGCAACCGTGTCTATATTTTGTAGCGGTTTCTTCCGAGACTGTAATAGTCCACCTCGCACGGGTGAGCCTTAAGACATAAGGTAAATGTGGTGATATTCTGAACAAATAAAATTTGCCTGAAGATCAGAGGACAGAACAAGCCGCTAGATTAAACATAGAGGCCAGCCAGTGGTGGCACACACCTTTAGTCCCAGCAGTCCAGAGGCAGAGACTGGGTCTCTGTGAGTTCAAGGCCACGCAGGGCTACACAAGATTAATCCAGTCTAAAAGAGAAACCGCCAGGCAGTGGTGGCACACGCCTTAAATTCCAGCACTTGGGATCACACACCTTTACTCCCAGCACTAGGAAGATGGAGACAGGAAGTGATATTGCTGGGTAGAGAAAAGAATATAAGGTGGGAGGAGACAGGAACTCATGCTCTTTCAGGCTGAGGAGTCGGTGAGGGAAGAGGTGAGGTGGCTGTGGCTTGCTCTGCTCCTCTGTTCTCTCAGCTTTCACCCCGATACCTGGCTCCAGGTTTTTATTAAGACCAAAGAGGATTCATGCAACAGGTAAACAGTTCAAAATAGCTTCAGGAAGTCCCTGGAACTGAAATATTCATTAGGCCCTTTCTTCACAAGAGTAAATACTCTGAGCAGGCTAGAGTCACTCTCTGGCAAACCAGGCTGTAAAGACGACTCTGAGACCAGACCAGACCAGACAGCTGCCTGAAAGAACTAAGCTGCCTGGAAGAGGTTTAGACCAACTGAGTCACTTGGAAGGGGCACTCTCCAGCCTGGTGAGCTGCCTACAAGCCTGGTATGCAGCGTGCTCCAGGTTCCCAGATTTTGTGAGCTGTCACCCATGCTGGTGATGCAGCTGGCTTTGAGTCATTTCTGCTCCTAATTAACCCTTCACCCATACTCCTGTAAATAACCTCTCCCCCATCCCCCTCCCACCCACTCCCACCCCACCCCACCCCCACAAAAATAAAACAACACCTCATTGGTTCACTAAGTTGGACTTTGGTGGTATCTGTACTTTGGACTGCTGTCTGGGGTGAGGAAAATTGTGTGTTGTGTCTCCCCAAGCAAATCTTGTCACACAACAGTCAAGTCCAGAAGTTTGCATTTTGTAGGACTCCTCCTCACCCTCACCTGGCTCTTACATTCTTTCTCCCGGCTCTTCAGAGATGTTCCCTACTGGAGGAGAAAATGCCCTAATGTAGGAAAAATACTTGGCATACTGTGCATCTTGATAAGAAGCTTGGTGTACCGTGCTCCAGAAGTCCGAGCACTGAATTCTGAAGCAGCCTGAGTAGCCAGTCACTGGCCTGTGGAAAAAGTTGACACTCTCTACGTCTTCTTTAATGTCTCCACCTCCCTTTTTTCCACATGGAGACCCTGGTGGTATGAGTGCTCAACTATCCAATCCAAGGTAATGTGCTAACCAATCATAATTGATTGGCTTCCACTATAGACGTGGTTGCTCCGGTTGGGGATTTAGCTCAGTGGTAGAGTGCTTGCCTAGCAAGCACAAGGCCCTGGGTTCCGTCCTCAGCTCCAGAAAAAAAAAAAAAGAAGTGGTTGCTTACGAGCAACAGAGCAGATGCTGTTCCCCGAAACCGTCTCTGGAGTGGGTCACCTCCACGAGCTTTACTGACCTTTGCTAGGGCATTGCTGTCTTGGCTGGGGATGCCCCGGTAACCACCACATCCTAAGCTTCATGGTAGCAGAAAGGAAGGTTGAGAAAGAGAAGGTTCTGAAGGTAGGAAACATACCTTTGCAATTCCTGATGTAACAACTGATTCAAGCAAGGCTTACCAAGGGATGCAACACTGTTACTTGAAAAGTCTTTTAAAGAATCGATGATCTCAGGCTGAAGAGATGGCTCAGAGGTTAGAAGCACTGGCTGCTCTTCCAGAGGACCCAAGTTCAGTTCCCAGCAACCACATGGCACCTCATAACTGTCTGTAACTCAAATTCCAGGGGATCTGACACTTTCACACTAATGCACATGAGATAAACTTAAATTATTTTAATTGGAAAAAAAAAAGTGGTGCCAGGCGATGGTGGCACACACTTTTAATCCCAGCACTCGGGAGGCAGAGCCCAGCAGATCTCTGTGAGTTTGAGGCCAGCCTGGTCTGCAGAGTGAGATCCAGGACAGACACCAAAGCTATACAGAGAAACTGTCTTGAAAAAAAAAAAAAAAGTGGCAATGGCCTTCCCTTCGTCCTCGGACTTGGAAATCATTCTGTGCAATACTCTCACGACACACCTCGATTTGAGCCACTTTCATGTCAAGTGTCTTGGAAATGCTGCGTTGGGCAGTACATCATAAACATAATTTCCAGTTTGCCCCAGATCCAACGTGCAGAGATACTAACCAAAAGATACCTAAAGGATACAGGAGTCTAGAACAGAGCTTTGAAAATGTGCTTCGCAGAGGTCCAGAGAATAAATACGTTGGGTATTGCAGGCCACATCTGGACTGCATTTGCCAATTCCCGTTCTTATCATCTTCCTCTGCCCTTCATTTCTTCTTCCACTTCATTTTTGAATACCCTCCTGAAAATATAAAAACTATTCTTCACCCAGAGGCTGTATAAAATCAAGCTATATTTTGCCAATCCCTAATCTAGAAAATGGAACAATCTCTTTTTTAAAAAATGACTCAGATTTTCTGGGAAGTCAGCATCATGCAGAAGCAGGTAGTGAGAGAACAAGAGTGAT